CAAATGGACCCAAGAAGCAACTCTCAACAGACATAAAAAGACCTGAAACAACACCTAGAAACCTATCTCACCATCATGGATTAAAGCTAGATATCAATAACAATAGAAGCAACACTTAAGTACAGAAACTCTTGGAAGCTGAACGACTCACTATTGAATGAAAACTGGGTCAAGACAGAAGTCAAGAAGGAAATTAAAAACAGTTTAAAACTGAATGAAAATGAAAACCCAGCATACCCAAACCTATGGGACAGAGTGAAGGCAAGTTCACAACACTAACTGCCTACACCAAAAAATGAGAGACCTCATATTCGTCACTTAGAACACCCGACAACTATTACAAATAAGGCTGCTACAAACATGGTTGAGCAAATGTCCTTATTGTCTACTTGAGCCTCTTTTGGGTATATGCCTAGGAGAGGTATAGCTGGATCTAGAGGAAGCTCTATTCCTAGTTGAGAAAGCACCAGATTGATTTCCAGAGTGGTTGTACAAGTTTACATTCCCACCAGCAGTGGAGGAGGGTTCCCCTTTCTCCACAACCTCTCCAGCATGTGTTGTCTCTTGAGTTTTTTGATCTTAGCCATTCTGATGGGTGTAAGGTGAAATCTTAGGGTCGTTTTAATTTGCATTTCCCTGATGGCTAATGAGGTTGAACATTTCTTTAAGTTTTTCTCTGCCATTCGATATTCCTCTATTGAGAATTCTCTGTTTAGCTTCATACTCTATCTTTTAATTGGATTACTGATTTTTTGCTGTTTAACTTCTTTAGTTCTTTATATAGCCAGAAGCTGAAAACAGCCCAGATGCCCCTCAGTGTAGGAATGGATGCACAAGTTGTGGTATATCTACACAATGGAATATTACTCAGCCATAAAAAAACAAGGAAATCATGAAATTTGCAGATAAATGGTGGGATCTGGAAAAGATCATCCTGAGTGAGCTATCCCAGAAGCAGAAAGATGCACACGGTATATACTCATTCATATAGACATATAATATAGGAAAAACCTATTAAAATCTGTATACCTAAAGAAATTAATCAAGAAGAAGGACTCTTGCTAAAATGCTCAATTCCTATCGAGAAAGGCAAAGAAGATGAACATCAGAAGGAGAAAAGAGGGAACAAGTCAGGAGCCTGACACAGAGGACCTCTGAAAGGCTCTGCCCTGCAGACTATCAATGCAGATGCTGAGACTTATGGGCAACCTTTGGGCAGAGGAATCTTATGAAAGAACTGGGAAACAGTAAGATCTGGAGAGGACAGGAACTCCACAAGGAGAGCAACAGAACCAAAAAATCTGAGCACAGGGGTCTTTCCTGAGATCGATACTCCAACCAAGTACTGTGCACAGAGATAACCTAAGACCCCTGCACAGAGGTAGCCTGTGGCAGTTCAGTATCCAAGTGGGTTCCATTGTAATAGGAACAGGGACTGTCTCTGACATGAACTGATTGGCCTGCTCTTTAATTACCTCCCCCTGAGGGGGGAGCAGCATTACCAGGCCACAGAAGAAGACAATGCAGCCACTCCTGATGAGACCTAATTCACTAGGATCAGAAGAAAGGAAAAGAAGCCCTCCCCTATCAGTGGACTTGGGGCATGCATGCAGAGGGTGGAGGAAGGGAGGGACTGGGACAGGAGGAGGGAGGGAACCACAGGGGGGATACAAAGTGAATAAAGTGTAATTAATAAAGAATTAAAAAAAAAAGAATACCTGACAACTCTAGAACCAGAAGAAAGAATACTCAAAAAGAGAAACAGGAAGAAGACCTGAACTCAGTGATGCAACACAAAAAAAAATAACAGAAACCACAAACAATTAATGAAACAAAGAACTGGTTTTCTGGAAAAACCAATAAGATTGACAAACTCTTCCTTTTCAGCCTCTGCCTTGGTCCTTGCAGCCGCTGCAACTCTAAATTAACAAGAACCTCAGCAATAAGGCCAGTTACCCTGAATCTGACAGAAGAGAAGGTGTGCAGTAGGCTTGAACTCACTGGCACAAGAAAGGACTTTCTGAAGAGGACACCAATAGCACAGGCACTAAAATCAACAATTAATAAATGAGACCTCATGTAAGTGAAGAGCTTCTGTATGACAAAAGTGTCCATCTGCACTGTATGCTATTATTTGGGCAAGATGGCAGCCTATAGAATGGAAAAATATCTTTTCCAATTATAGATCTGGTAGAAGGTTCATATCTAGAATATATAAAGAACTAAAACAAACAAACAAAAAATCTGGACATGAAGAAAACAACCCAACTAAAAAAAAAAATGGGGAACAGGACTAAACAGAATTCCTAAAAAGATAAAACACAAATAGCTGAAAAACACTTAAAGATATGCTCAATATCCTTGATCATCAGGGAAATACAAATCAAAACTACTTTGAGATTTCACCTTACACAAGTCAGAATGGCTAAGCCTTTATCAAACCCTACCCCCCCGCCCCCAGACCTTAAGGATTTACGCAGAAGAGGGGGCAGAAAGATTTTAAGAGCCAGAGGTGATGGATACTGCAAAGAAACAGTGCCTTCTACATTTAACAGGACTAGTGCACATATGAATTTACAGACTATGGTAGCATGCACAAAGCCTATACAGTTTCAAGCCAGACGGGGGCTCAGCAGTGAGAGGGAAAAGGAGACATGGGTCCCATCCCTAACAGAGAAGTTGTTTGCAACTGATACCTGCTGGCAAAGCGAAGAACAGTTTCCTCCAACAATGGATCACTGCTTGTACCAACCACACTCCAGAGCAGACCCTGTGGCCAGTAGTTGGCTGACACACAACAAACTCTGGATTTTTTTTGTAGACTTTTGGTTTTGATTTGTTTAGTTATCTTGTTGGTCTGTTGCTTGTTTTAATGTTTGTTTTTATGGGGATTTTTGTTTGCTTTGAAAAAGAATATATGTACTATTGGACTGGTAGAAATGTGTGGAGAGCCTGGGGGGAGCTGAGGGAGAACAAAAACATCAAAAAACACTGCGTGAAAACAATTTTAATTAAAAAGAAAAAACAACCCGAGGCTTATCGGTTATTCAACGTACCCAGTGGTTCTCAACCTTCCTAATGCTGTAACATTGAATTAACAATTAATTAACCCTTTAATACAGTTCTTTATGTTGTAGTGACCATAAAATTATTTCATTGCTACTTAATAATTTTAATTTTGCTACTTTTATGAGTAGTAAATATCTGACATGCAGGACCCCAGGGGGTTGAAACCCACAGGTTAAGAACTGCTGCCCTGGACCAGAGAAATGGCTGAGCTTCTGAATTCAATTCCCAGCAACCACATGGTGGCTCGCAACCATCTAGAATGAAATCTGATGCCCTCTTCTGGCCTGCAGGCATACATGCAGACAGAACATTGTACACAAAATGAATAAAACATAAAAAACAAACAAAAAAACTGCTGCCCTAAGCATTGCTCATTTTCAAAACTGGATTACTGCATTTACAACTGATGCAGTAGAATTTAAAATGTAGAAAAGGCAAGCAAACCTTGCTCATTTTCTCTTCTTCCATGGAGCTCTGTAAATATGAATACTGCCTTCTTAATATTATTTAATATTATCTTTGTGTTATGTCTGTTAAATCTGAAGATAACCTATGAAATGTTTTTCTTTTGACTAAACTACACCTTCTTTCAGGGCAAAATCTTAACAGCCCTCTAGCAAATGCTTCAGCAATATTTTGATACAATTTTATGATGAAATGAGTCAGGCTTTTAACTGAAGATCCAAGGATCACTCACCCTATTTCATGCATCAAAAAAAAAAAAAAAAAAAAAAAAGGAAGTTTAGCTTTTAATTGTAGGCGGAGCACATTGGACATTTGTCCTCAGGTGCAAACAGCTGGGAAATGGGTACCCTGGTCTGTATTGATGGAAGCCAGAGGAAAACCTACACCAAAAGGTGACAAATTCACATCTTCTCTAGAACGGTGACTCTTAATTCTTATTTTGCCACCAGGTTTATAGAAACAATTAGGCTGATTCACAAGCCACCCCCAAGGTCACACAGCTTAGCCCATGAACGCATCTTGGGCATTTACTATCTGAACTACTTGAACAAGATAGAACTTTCCGAGTGTATCCACGGACTGCACTACCTGGGTGCAGGTTTCTTAGAGCTCTAATTACCTTGCTGGTACATATTAGCAAGTACTTATCAATTGTAACTTTCCCCTCAGCTGAAATGAATAACCCTGTTGGTTTCTGTTTAAAATGAAAATGTCATAGTGACTTCTGAATTCCTAAGTTCCCAAAGACCTGAGGAAAGTGGCACAAATAGCAGCTCACTAAAGAATAAAAACAAAAATCATACGTGGACATTTATATGTGGTTTCAGATCTACGATGGCAACCTGAACAAGCATTTCTTTGCAGATATACTATGAACACTGGGCGGACTGGAAGAGCAAAGCAGAAGGAGACTTTGCAAATGCCTGCTCTGTCTCAGCTGTCTTACTGAGCAGTGGTGAGTGCATGAGACAAATCCCGGGCTTCAGACAGTGTTCTCAGCAACTTCCATGACCGTTAGCAAATTTCATAACTGCTCTAAGCTGCTTTCTCAAGAGGAAGTAATAATCTAGCCCATGTACATGCTCAAGGGTCTAAATGAGAAACAGAAAATGCTTTGTAAAACTGCAAATCAATCTTACAAAAAAACCAAAAACAAAACAACACCACCACCTCGGAAAAAAATCCCAGGAGCAAAACCTCAACTTGAACTCAGGAAATATGAATCAATTTTAATCTTTTAGTTTTTCCCTGAAGTCTCGACCCAAACTAGGAATTAGAAAAGCAACATCAGTTTAAAAACAACCATACTGTGCTGTGCTGTGTCCAGTTCGTTAAAAACAGCAGCAACAGTCATCCTTGGGAGACCGGAGGTAGTAAACACTTAACTTCCCCAAGGTCACTTGAAACAGACACGCAATCACAGGGCTGGCAAAGAACGGGTCGAATTAAGAGTTGATAGTAACGTCTTAATGACTCCACTTCCTTTATTGCAGTAACTTCTGTACAAGGCGACAACCGCAACGCTCGGGGTTAAAACATTACAAAAGCATCTGTGACAGGTACAGTACAGTATTACCAAAATATTACATCTTCAAACTTAGCAGGCCATCACCAGAGCTCAACTCTTTAAATTATTTCCATAGTCTTAAAAAAAAAAAAAAACAAACAAAACCACTTATGTCAGAAAGCAATACGAAGAGTGTAAAGCAAAACCCCAAGCACAAAGGAAACGATGCAACAAATAAATATCTGATTTAGCTGTTAATAACCTCTTTGAATCCACTGAATTTCTCACTTCTCGGAACAATGGGCTCAAATGCCACTGCATAATTATTTTCAAGTTATTATCAATGATTACGACTAAAAAATAATTTGGCATTGAAATAATCAAAACTCAGCATAAAATAAAAATAGCTTTATTACTACCTAGCATCTCTAAGGATTAATTGTTGAAAATTTTCATTTTTAGAGTACTACTGCAACCTTGAAAAATGTCTGACCTGGTACTAGTGTTAAGTGAACATAATGTAGTTTGTTTTTTTTTAAAGTGGAAAGCTTCTTATATTGTTTCACAAACAATATCACCCTCCCTATTATGTGTATTGAGATCCATTTTATGTACCTTATACACACGTGTAGGATGTATGGCATTTAGCTTCTGTAGTACAGATCACAATGAAGTTTCCTGAATGGGGAAAAATCCTTTAAAAATAAAAGGCAAGTGTACCTGTGTACATTTCAAGATAGCAGCATTCAGCCACGTCCTAGTATCCATTCAGAAAGTTCACGCATGATATGGTTTGCTGAATGTGACTCTTCTACATTGTCCCCCAAACTGCGAAATTTACAGTAAATGGAACTATATTGTACTATAGTGTAAAAGAAACTTAGAAAAATCACTTCATTTTCTTAAGATTCTGAATGGAAATGAGCAGCTATCCCGCTGGCATTAATTTAGTCTATATTCACACGGCAGAAATGCTGTGCCACTGAAAGTGCTTTTCTGACATTCCCTTAAGGTGATGAAAGCCTCTGTACATTCTCCACGGAAGCCTAGACATCATCTACGTGACAGCACTTTCCCTAACCGGATAATTGTATGAAGTATATACTGTGGGCTTCTTCAAATTGTCTTTGTCCTCCATGAAACCTGTAACCTCTTGATCTGACTTGAATGTTTACCTAAAATATATATATTTACCAAATTGTGATCACTTTAAAAGTTTCAAACACCGGCAACATAAATTTCATTACATATACACATATGTACCTGTATATGTATAACATACACACATACAGACACGTAGACATGAATCCCTTGAAATGTTTTTAGAAAATCCTTCTTTGAAAAATGAGAAACTTCACATTAACAGCTGTATATAAAGCTTTCAGGACGGCACAGGCGCAGTCACGTGCACTGCTAGACAAGGAGGTCAAACGTACAAACTGGCAGTTTTAACACAAAAGTTTTAAAGTATTAAGAATGGATTAAATTTCAATGCTCAGAATAATCTGTTCAAACCTGAGTGTATTAAGACTAAATGTACTTGATACTTGAATAAATTAAGCCTAAAACCATTTAACTAACAGTGGTCCATTTAACCATTGAAAATATTTTAATCTTTTTTTTTTTTTAAATAAAGGATGGCATAAGGATAGTGAAATTCCCACAGTGCTCATTGAAACGTTCCATTAAATGACATTGCTTTGTCTAAATTTCCTCCCAAAATATCTGTTAGCATGTCTTAAAAGTCCCTCACATTTGAGAGGAAATTCTAAATCAGAACAGATCTTTAAAAATAATACAAATGATCTCAGAGTTTTGCTTGAAAAAAGATGCGTGATTTTTCAGCATCATACATGAAGTACTGGGTAGATCTTCAGCCTTCTCTACAATTTAAAAGAAATAATACATGATTCCTATTGAGAGTTAAAAATGATACTTTGGGACTATTTTTCCTAGCTCTATATGTACATATACTCGTATACGCCTAAACTTGGGCTCCATTTTTTGGATACTTTCCCCACATATTTTTAGTTTGTTCTAATCCTCTTTAGTATCTAACAGATACCTTTACAAAAGTAATACAAAACACAGAGTACTCAACACTAACTGGTCAATGGGAGGAGAAAAGCAGTGTCCACTTAAAGTGACAGAGATTAGAAATAAAAATATCTGAAGACAGAGTTTAACATTCTATAAATTTACAAAAGACAATAGATATATGGATGAAATTTGGTTAATTTCAGAAGGCACCTTAAGGCTAAAGGCTTTTGTACTCCTTTCATCAATCAAAAAAATAACACACTCTTATTGCTTTCAAGTAGCAAAGGAAAACTTTACTCTCATGAACTTCAGTCCAACAAGAATTATCAGTCAATAAGATTGAGATATGGAGTAGACTAAAACTGAAGTCTCCATACATCTATTAATGGAGTGACTTTTCCATGTGCTTTCAAATCATGAAGTAGTGAACGAAAGTCCCAGTTGGCCACTGTGATGTTAAGGTGTTACTGATGATCTCAGTCACTTTCACTAGGCACTGAAGTACCATTCTTGGAGGGCAGTCCTTGGTGCAGAGCAACTAAGAATAGAAGGTGAGGACGCTCTGATGGTTCCCACGAACCAGGAGGATTGGAGGCAGGTCCTTAGAGAGAACTTCTAACCATGCCATATACAGAGCACTGGATACAGCACCTTTCCGTGCAACTGGGAGACTCCTAGGATCAGAATGAAAAAGAATCTGAGCAATGCTTTGGAGAAGATAACGAAACAATTATTAATCAGGGTCCCAATTCCTGTGATAAAATACTTCTGAATGAAGGAGAATTCTGCAAACACATAGCAGTAACTTCTATATATATTCTCATTTCTCTGTCCCCAGATTTTCAAACACTTGTCCATAAGAGTCAGTATTCTTGCGAACTTCAATACCTGTAACTCACATTAATATTAATTTCAAACTTTTCCTTCACTAAGGATAGGATTTTTTAGAAGAAAAATGTATAACTTAAATAGTAGAAGTTATAGTTGAAAAATGAAATTTAATTAACTATTTTAACCTTTTCTCGTGAATTTTAATTTCTATGTATAAAATATGGTCATGTCTTCTTGACCAATAAGGCATTCATTCTAAATTTCTATGGTTTATTGTCTTTCATTACAGAAATCTACCTACCACCAGCACAAATTAAAAATGTGCTTGGTGTTACCCTAACAGTTCTTTAGTGTCACTGTATTTTATCATTTGTTCTGGCTGTGGATAAAAGCACTATACAAAGTTGCAATAGGTCACAATGCATAGAAAACTGAATATAGGGTACTCAACCCCATTTGATACATCTACAACACAAC